CTGTGGATGTTAGGGACGGGGGTTACGAGCAGCAGGCAAGAAGAGCTGATTGACTGAGCTGGAGAGCTATATTTGCATAATAGAATCATTTTAAGTAAAAGATTAGAATGAGTAAATTGTGGGCTTCATTTGAGCTGCCGTCATGTCTCCTTCAAAAGACATAATGACATTGGGAACTTCCAAATTACAATTACAAATATAAGTCGTATCACTCTGAAGATAAAACTGGTAATTAAAATCTATCACTTCTGACATAATTACAAAATACGGCATGCTGTCGAAATTCCCTCTGAAAGGCTAAATTTTATCTCTTGATAATGGCAAAACATCTAAGTGTTCCATTATTAAGAACTCAAAGACATGAAATTGATGTAATGTAGGAGCGAGAGGAAACTCTTTCCAAGAGATAGACCTGAAATCTCCTGAAGTCTCCGTCGAGGCTTGAAGACAGGCATTTTAAGTGCAGTAACTGGGAACCCAAGTGTGTGCCTTTGTAACGTCTTACAAGTGGACAGAAGCCATTCACGCTCCCAAATTATCCATCATTCTGCCTCTAAGACAGATGCCAGCCGACAGCTCTCACACAGCAGCCACCAGCGTCACTCTTGGGACCCTCCTCTACTCTGTAACCTGGTTGGGGTCAGGAGAGCTCCGCCCGAGGAGGGCTGGCTGGGGGGTGGCACCTTGGCATCCATTTCCTGTAACATTTTCTTCTGAAGCTCCAGCAGCAGCTGCTCCCAGCCACAGCAAGAGCCCACTTTGAGTTCCCTGCTTATAAGTAATCTTACTGTACCTCAACTTGGAGGAAATGATTTCTCTTCCAAGGAAGTGAAGTGTTGTCTCTCTTCTCATGAACTCACTTCATTCAATTTCTCAATACCTGAAAATCCAGAGTCTTGGAAAAGGTCACCCAGGACGGTCATCTCCTGGGCATCTGCTCAGGCTCTTCACTGTGGGCACACGTGGCCCCCTGAGGGAGGGCTGGGGCAGGGCGGGCTGGCCCAGGAGCCTTGCCCTCACTCTTTCCTCACTCAGGTACTCCATGCTGGCCCGAGTGTCCCTGCTCCAAGATACTTACAACCATGCACGGTGAGGCTTAGAGCTCCCCAAGGGGCAAAAGCCAGCACAGTAAACACAGGAGAGGTCACGTCTGCAGGAGGGAGGAAGGGGGAGGTGGAGCCCAGCTTCCACAGGGAGGAAGACCTTGAAGGACACGGCAGGCAGCCTGGACCCTTGTCAGCAGCCATGACCCAGGGAAGACACTGACTTGCCTACTTTGGCCACGTGCCCAGCATTGACCAGTCATAGAGCCTGTGAGATGAACCTCTCTGATTAGGCAAATTTGAATCTTAGTTCACCCCCCTGACATGGGGTGGGAAAGCAAACTCCACCTGAACCATGCAAAATAGATTCCCTGTCCTTGCTCCTAGAAGAAGGGGCATGGAAGAGGCATTTTCACAGCCCTCAAACAATCCCATGTCTTTTGCAGCTCAGGTCTTTCTGGTGAACCCTGGAAGCCCTCCCACTGCACGGCTCTCCTGTAAGCAGGCCGTGCTGGAGAGCTCTAGCTGGGACCTACTGTCCTCTCAGGGCACCATCCTATAAGTTAACACCAGAGGTGGGGTAGCGAGGGCGGGCTGTGAACCGGACCAAGTCGTAAGTGCTTGTGTTCTTATAAGTTTGATTTGTTTTAAACCCTTGCTCTTTAAACATCTTTGTTTCAAACTGGGGATTTCTCTTCACAACCTAGAGACCCCATGGCAGAAAYCACAAGCTAAGTGGACGAGAACAGGCATCCTCATGTTGGAGAGCCGTGTCACTGCAGTGCCCCACTGGCAATGACATGTCCTGGCCATACATCCACAGTAAACTATGACATGGCATCTCTACTCCCTCATGCTCTGGGTGACAGATCAAGGGAATAAAACTCTTGGAAGGAGGCCATTAGTGCTTTCCTGGGAGTGTCAGAAAGTTAACTTTTGAATCCTGCATCGTTCCAGACACTGGACAAACCAGCCCCAGAATGGAATGAGTTTTATTGGCCAAACTCCAACAAGCTTTGTGACTTTAGGAACTGATTCTCTCCCAGAAGCTTCCTGGTCATCCTATTCAGGATTTATTTCTTTTCTCAAATCAGTAGGCATAAACTATCTCTAATTCCCCTCTCTTGGAGGAAACACCACTGAGCATGCTCAGAATCAAGGGATTCATTATCCAATTCAGTTCTGCGCCCAATATGCAAACACAGCAGCTGGCACCATAGCTTGTCAAGTCATTCTTTGGAAAAAGATTTGGTGGAGCTGGAGCCTGGTCTTGCATCCGGTGGCATATCAGAGCATGTTTGCATCCTGTAGAGGAAGGAACAAGAGGGGTCTGTTGATAACCAAGTGGTTCTAAGAGAGGAGCACAGGACGGTGGCTGGGCGGAAATACCATGCTTTGGGCTGTATATCCATGAGTCAAGCCCACCTTTGCCATATCTATAGTGATCTTCAGCAAGTTAAACTCTGAGCGTTGGTGTTAAAATCTGTGAAATGAGGGTAAGGGGACCTTTACAGAGTGGTTTCAAGGACTAAGGATACTACATATCATTCCCAGCACAATGACTACCAGTGGGTGCCCACCAGTGGCAGGTTGATGACCAGAGATGTGGCATTCACTTAAAATGTTTGCTAAGATGAGGAGAATAACCATGGGAAAGATGACCTTTGTTCCCAGTGGAATACAAAGCAATCTACTCGGGTGTCTACTGAGGGTCTCCTGGTGCCTACTCGGTAAGACAAGGTTCTGCAGGCCCAAGCTGTGAGGGCTCCCGGCATGAACCAGGCCTTGGGAGCCACAAGGAGCCTCATTCACAGTTAGGAGCCAGGAAGAGATGGGTGCAGGCAAGTCCCTGAGCTCTGACTCGGGGTTTTCAAGCAGATGCCACTGTGCAGAGCATGTGCCCCAACTCCAGGACTCCCCCGAAGTCTTTCCCCCTTGTTTCTCAAGGCGTCTGCTCACAATCTTAAGAGAGCCCCCATATTTTTATAATTCCCAGGCGAGAARTCGTAAGAGGGACAGGATCCACAAGAACATCAGGACAGCGTGGAGTTGATGGCAGAGTGGGACCAACTCGCCCCTGGTCCCAGGAGCCCTGTGTCCACCAGGAGCTCCTGGCCTTCCTGGTCAGGGTCTTATGAAGTGGGAAAGGACGAATGGCTATTCCCTACCCCATTTTATTGGCCCTTTGGCAGGTGGCAATGGCACCATGTGTCCCATATCATGGAATCTGGCTTCACTTGGGCTACGGGGCTGGGTTTATTCTGCTCTCTAGCCCTGAGACCCAGGGTGGGGCCCACAGGAGGAGGCCTCCATGACCAGTCCCTGGAGGGAAGGGCCCAGCCTCCTGCCCTGACGGCCCCATGAAGTCAGGCTGCACTTTCTACCCCCATGCCCCAGGCTTTTCGTCCATGTACTAGAATGAGACTAGAATTCTAGAATGTACTAGAATTCAGCTCAGAGCCTCTTCTTCAGGAGGTTTTTCCCGACCAATATTTCTTTAAAAACCAGACCCTCTCACCCACTTTACTCCCCCTCATAGCACCTGCCACTCGACTTCAGAGGAACATATTCATTATCCCGTTTTCTCTTTCTTGTTGCAATTTTTAAGCRGGCAGTATTGTGCAATTGGGTCACTCGGTGGCCCTGGTGTCTGGAAGGCAGAAAGTGCTGATAAATATTCAAATAAAAAGGGGCTGGGGACGGGGTCAGTGGTAGGGTATCCCTGGCTTCAATCCCCAGTACCTCCCACCCCACAAAAAGAGAGTTTGGGGAGGCCTCTCTAAAATGGCTTTTAAAATTTAAAGAATGGGAAAGTAAGAGGTGAGGACTGGAGAGCTCAGAGCCAAGGTCCAGGACTGACTGGGCATGCTGCCTACCCCTTCTGGGGCAAGGGCCGGTTGTGTTGAGCTATTTTGTTTTGTGGGACAGTTGTGTGTGGCAGCAGCCAAGGAGGAGGAAACAGGCAGACATTAAAGAACCACGGGTGTGATTAGGGAGGAGGCCTTGCCCATCGTCCAGCCAGAATCTAAACTCTGCTGTCACCTTGGAAGGCCAATGGAACATCCYGGAGTTGGGAGCAGAGAAGGGCAAGGCCCAGAGGTGGGCTCTGGGAAGTTGGCTTCCTGGCAGTTGGAAGTGATGCAGGGGAGGTGCCCAAAGAGGAGGCCAGYGTGGGAGAGAAGATGTGCTGTCTTTTCCTGCATCCCTTGAAGTCCTCAACACATGCCACTGTGCACAGGAGTCGAGAGCTCTCCAAAGTGTCGGCACTGCAGTCTCCAATTACATGCTRTCTCCTTCCCTGGCTGGAAGATGAGCTAAAAATGGCCACTTCCTGAGCTCTCCGGCTGCCATGACCCTCTCTGCRGGGCCCTGTCATGCTGTGCACAATGACTACCAGGGTTTATGACTCTGTGGCCTCCCAGAACATTCTCTGCCTTGCAAAGAATAGGCACTAATTGAGCCAGTGCTTGCTCCTATAGGAAGCTTTCTGGGACTGAAAGTATTGTACAAAATTGCTGCTTTGCTCATTTGTTCTCCTTCTCTCATCACTCCCCGCGTTAGTCATTGTGACTCTTTGGAGCCTGCCCCAGMTTGCATTTTCTCACCGGAATTGTGTGGGATGTTGCTAAAGAGTGCAATCTTCCCCGTCTCTGCRGCCAGCCCCCAACTCCCTCCTGCTCTGGATCCAATCTGGCTGCACAGCCAGGCCGCATCCCCTGAGAGGCTGCACCTGCCCTGGGCCCTGGACAGCAGGGCTTTGTGGGGAGCTGAGCCAAGTGGGTGCCCGCTGTTGACCTCTGGCCTGCCACCAGCCAGCTCCCAAGGAGTCAGCCAAGGTGCTGGGCACCATTCCTGTGAACACAGAACCTGTCTCCCCTTCACCCCAAGCCCAGGGCTGTTCCAAGAAACCCACAAACACTTGCTGGAGACGAAGGTGCTATTGTGCTTCTATTCCAGGTGCTAAACCCGCCCCCGGGATCTGCTTTGAGAGGGTCAACTCTGCAGGTGATCCCTACGGCAACTGTGGCAAGGACTCCAAGAGCTCCTTCGCCAAATGTGACGTGAGGTAAGGAATCCATGCATCCTGATGAGGTCATCGCTGGGCCTTCCCACGTGGCTTAGGGGTGGTCCCTAACTGCTCCTCTTCGGGGCTTTCTCTTCTTACTCTTCCAGAGATGCTAAATGTGGAAAAATCCAGTGTCAAGGAGGTGCCAGCCGACCAGTCATTGGTACCAATGCTGTTTCCATAGAAACAAATATCCCACTGCAGGAAGGAGGCCGGATTCTGTGCCGGGGGACCCACGTGTACTTGGGTGACGACATGCCAGACCCAGGGCTTGTGCTTGCAGGGACAAAGTGTGCAGATGGAAAAGTAAGACCCAAATTCTCACTTGCATCCCATGAATGGAMGTCTGGGACTGGGCCCATTGAAAGGCGGCCCATTTAAGAACAGGGTGTGAAGTTGGCCTGTTTCCCTAAATCCACTTCTCAGAATGTGGTCTCTGGAATCCCGTTCTTTGCACCTACAACAAAAAGTCAGTCAGTCCAAGATCCCYACCTGACCACTGAGGTACAGATTTGGGGAAATCCAGCTCATCTCTTTGACCCGTTAGTGTCAATAAGTCATTTCTACACCCTGGATGTCATGAGAGTTTAGAGGCAAGAAATAACTCTGGAAAGAAATGCGGTGGGGTAGCATATTGTTCTGGGCAATGTGGTTTGGTGTTTGGCACAGGATTCTGGGGGRCTTTTCTCACCTGGACAGGATGGGAAGTCGGATGTATGTTCAGAGTCCTCATAGAAGACTAGGAGGGGAGGAGGGAGGCAGCTGAGAACCAGAGGGGGTCCTGGCAAACCACAGGGAGAGGTAACCAGAAGTATTTTAAGGTATAGAAATAAAATCAATTTTTTAGTGGAAAAAAGAAATTGAGATTTTCATGTTCTGGCCCACTGATTTTTTTTTTTAACCAAATTTTTCTCATCAGACTAAATGATAGGAAGTTAATCAGATGTTTTAGGGAAAAGATGAATCAACTCCCAAATGCTTTTTTTAGGCACATTTTCAGCACGATCTGGAATCTCTCACTAGTGTGGAGGTCGCCAGAAGGAAAGGACAGATGTGGACTGCTTCCCTTGAGAAGCTGGAAGGCAGGAATGGCCTGCAGCCTGGCCCCGCAGCCCGCCCTCCCGTGGCCACAGGCTGTTTCCTTGAGATCGGATGGTAYAGGAGGCGAGCTGTGTGTCCTGCCTGCCTCCTTAGCCACGTTGGCCTTGATGTTACAGTGACACCAGAGTTTAAACCTGTCTAGCAGCCAGAGGCAGGAGTGCCAGGACACTAAAAGTCCAAGGACTCTGCTGACCTTGGGGGCATCGTTGGCCCTGCCCCTGGGGTCAGGAGGCCAGCAGCACCTACCACTGCGATTCTGACCAGGAGCACCTGTGTCCTCTGCCACCTGGGATGATATTCTTATCGCTGGAATGTGACAATCTGTTTGGCCAGGGTCCACCCATCCCTCAGTCCTGCATGGCTCCGCCCTTGCTCTTACTTGAGCTGTTGGGTCAAATAGGACTCTTCCCATAGGAAGGTTCTACCTAATTAAAAAGCTTCTGCATCCCAAACACTAGACCCTTCACTTTTGACACCACCGTTCATCTTGTGAGGTGAAAGGACCTGATCCCTGGAGTCGGGAGCCGGTCACATACCTTAGATGACACTGTGTCTCTCAATCCGTCCAGTGTCATTTGGCAAATTCCTGCCTCTGCCATGCTTGATAAACACAGCGGAGCCTGGTTCCCTCTGCCAGACGTTTCTGTCGATGGTTTGTGTCACAGTGATGCTCTTTGTCAGTTGGAATTCTGAAAATGTTCCCCCGTTTAGACATCTCTCTTTGAAGACGCTTGGACCCTGGATTCTTGGAGTCTTCACAGACCCCAGGGTCAGGACTGACCCGTCTCACCCTCTCCTGTGGTGTTCAATGGAGAAAAAGTGCTCTAATATGTAGGTTTCATTGTCATCTCTACACAAAAGTCATGAGAAAATCAGATACAGTTTCAGGATGCACCAAAGCCATTTTAAACCCCATAAAGCCTAAGAACATTCATGAGTATTGAATTCAAGTCATTGAACTTGGTCTTGCCAAGAGCTGAGATTGGAGTTAGACAGCGGGAGCCTGTCCATGCGGCAAATGCACCAATTACTGCCCCCAGGTACCTAAAAGGGGAGTCTTCTCCAAGCTTCCTCAGCAGAAGTTCTGAGGTGCTTGCTGTGTTTTCTTCCTGCAGATCTGCCTCAACCGGCGGTGTCAGAACACCAGCGTCTTCGGTGTTCAGGACTGTGYAATGCGATGCCATGGCCGGGGGGTAAGTAGGCTGCCCTGCCCTATCTGAGACCAGCCACCCAGCTAAGCAGGAAGTCACTCTTCGCCRAGGCTCTTGCAACCCACAGCTTTTTTTTAAAAAATAGAGCAGCCAGCGTCTTCTCCATATTTTCTTCTAACRACGTTAATTTTCTTTGACCTTTACATCGCACAAGAAATGTCATCTTCATTTCACAGAGAAAAATCAGATTGAGTGGTCATTATCTTTTGAATCAGCATTCTGTGATTTTGAGAATTTTGTCATCTTCAAAGTCATTTTAAAGCTCACCTTGCTTGTGAAGTGCCTCACATTAGCATTTCAAACAGAGCTGTCCGTCTTGCCCCCATCATTCCAAATATGTGTCTGAACCAAACTTTTTCAGGAAGGGATTAAAGCCAAGACGGTCCACCATCGTGACCATGTGCTCAGAAGCCCCTCACGACAGGTCCCTGACTCAACAGGCTGTGTTCTACTTCACAGAAGCTTTAAGGGAGAAGAGAACAGTCCRAAATGAGATTTATTTTTCCTGATGGGCTCAACTATTTCCAGTGGAATCATATTAATCTTGATTGGCCATGCCAGTGGTTCATTTGGTTTCCTGAAACCTTTTCTACAGAGATCATGTTCTGACGTCTGTTTTTAAAATCTCCAGACACTTGCCAGTGATTCCGATGTGGCACGTGGGGGTCTCCCTAAGCTCAGGCCGAGTCACAGCCATGATGGATCACGCCTGCCGCACCTCTTGGGTTGGTGGCTGCAGCATTTAGCTGACGCACAGCCTAACTCAGGATGGCTGTGTCTTCCCTGGATAATAGATCTCTCTTGATTGGCCATAATAGGCGAGCTAGTCCAGCCCCGTMGTTTTACTGACAGATCTAGACGTACGTGGGGGGAATGACGTGTGCACAGTAACCTGACTGGTCAGCAGCGAGCAGGGAGGACTGAAGCCTCCCTTTCTGATGTCCCTGGCACCTCATCCACACTCTGGAGAGGAAAGGCCCACATTTTCTGGACCAGTTGGCCATGACTTAGTGCCAAGGGCATGGCTACAGTCCCTCCCTGATGAGACCAGGCTCACTGCTAGCCCCACCAAGCAGGGTGTCAGGGCTGTGATTTCTCTGACACCAGCTGCAAGATGGGAGGGGTCCRCATGCTGCAGCAGGGGACTTCAGGGCAGCACGTGAATCTCTGGTGGTTCCTTAGCAGCTGCACCTTCCAGGAATAGTCAAGACAGCACGAGCCACGCCACTGGCGAGTTAAAACTGCTTCTAGCTTCACAGCTGTCTCCCAAACCATCACAGGCGATCTCGACCGTCAGGCTTCATATTTGAAGCAGTTGGGGGTGATTTCATCAAAAGAGTGACTACCTCTGTTGAATTCATCAAAGTCAGTTAAAGCAGGGGACCCTCCCGTGAGACACACGCTCCAAACGTTTTATTTTGCCTTAAAATCAGTTGGTATGTGTTTGGATCCCATATTTTGATGCAGGGACTTCATGGTTTACTGATGGTTGCTCTTTCACCTCTGTGACTAAACCACGCAGCAGTTCAGCACCTGCAATTACAGTCTGTTTCCTTAAGTGGAGGGAAACTTGGACACTCCACAGGCACCTGAGTGCTCAGTGCTGCTTGTCCCGGCTTCCCCGGCCACACTGTATTGTCCCTTGCACTCCGAAGTTGTCGGGTGCTTTTTAGTGACTGGCCTTTCTCCAGTGTTCCCAAATCACCCTAGAAACAAGGTCCTCTGGCCTGCAGGGTCACATTCCATGGGTTCATGCACCAGTTCACTAAGTTATATARCCAGCAGTGGTGAGTCCTACCAGAGTGAGAAGAGCCTTCATCAGGAAAAGGCGGCCCAGCTGCAGGGCTGCCTCAGCGCTCCAGCCTCAGGGGACCAGAGAGCGCCTGGCCTCCCGCGCCTCCTGCCTGGAGGAGGAGGACCATGCCAGGAGGTTGTTGGGTCTCGGAGGCCCCAGCAGTCTGGTTCCAGGCCCCTCCTTACTACTGGAGGGTTTCTCATCACAGCCTCATAGTGACAGTGTCCCAAATTGAAGAAAGACGGGGAGAGCAAGAAGAGGCAGGGGGGAGAGAGCGGGGAAGGCTTCCTCACGCCACCACCCCCTGGGTGGCAGATGATGGGCGGATGGTGCAGCACCCCCAGCCTCAGGGCTGGCCTCACCTGTGCTGTTTGGGGCTGGATCTCACAGTGACAGCTAGCGTCTGGCTGGGCAGGTGCCAGTGGGGGCCGGCCACGGTCCCCTTGTTTTTGTGTGGTGCTCAACTAGGGCTCAAGCATATAGCATGGCCCCCTGCTAGAGAGGGCACCCTAACGCTGTCCCCTGCCTCCAAAGGTGTGCAACAACAGGAAGAACTGCCACTGCGAGGCCCACTGGGCGCCTCCGTTCTGCGACAAGTTTGGCTTTGGAGGAAGCACTGACAGCGGCCCCATCCGGCAAGCAGGTCAGTGAGGTCCCTGTGTCCCGGGGGAAGTGACAGCCCACGGGCAGTCAGTGTGGGTACAGGAGTGGCTCTGCACAGCCTGAGGCCTCTCCCGGTTCCCAGCGCACCTGTGTTCTCACCTGACCGTCCAAGGCTCCTAGCTCCCTGCTCTGACGAGTGGCTGGGTTTGCAGGTTCCCTGGTCTGTGACACTCTGCCCAGCTCAGGCAGTGTCCACAGTGAACTGCCAAGTGGTRTGAGCTTCATCTGCAGGTCTGAAGGCCCCGAGAGGGCCAGCCTCTGTGCCCTGGGGCACAAGGTGTGAAGTTTATGCCTTTTCAACTCCTGACCAGACAGAAGCCCTCTCCTAATGGAGGCACCAGCAGGAACAGCAGCAGCTGCACACAGGGAGTAGGGGCGTCCAGGTGCCGGGCCAAGCCCTTCACACGCTGGATGTCACCTGCTCCTCGCACAACTCTGAAGCAGAGCTTACCATTAGATACAGGACCTGAGGCTCAGAGAGTTGAAGTAACTTGCCCAACATCAACCAGCTAAGATTGAGATCCAAGTCTGTCCRTCCCCATAGAGGCTCCTCGGGCAATTTCAAAATGGTCTCCTCCTCGTAYGGTGCTGTTTTCTCTGGGTTTTTGGGAGCGAGTTAGGGACAAATCGGAAGGATGTCCCTTTTAAAATGAAAGAAGCTGGGAAAAAAGAGGTCAGAAAGCATGCAGCTGGGCAGCCAAAGGTGGAATGGACGGAACAGGCTGCCTGGCCCTCTGGACACAACCCTGAGCCCCCCATGATGCTTAGACCGTGACCAATGCTGCCAGAGGGGAGGTCACGTGTCCCCAAACCCTGCTGTGAATGGCAGCATTGAAACCGTGGCTTTGCCATCGTTTCCTTGGCAACAGACACAACAGGACTCTGCAGGGCCAGGCAGAGCACACAGGCCCAGAGGGGAGGCCAGTGTCCCAGGCACATCTGCAGAAGCAGCAGAGGAAGGGCGAAGAGTGCCTGGTCCCCTTCCCCTAAAGACTCGGCACTGCTCCTGTGAGAGCTCCAGTCCACCTCRGGCCCTGAGCGAGTAGAGAAAGGACCAGAGGGTCTGGTCCCGATGGAGCCTCCATTGCAGTGGGGGTGAGCAGGGCCAAGCCTGGCATCCCCTTTCCTCGGTGACCTCTGGGCCTCGATGACAACTGGCCTCTTGTTGCAACTTAGTACCTTAGCAGGACAGCAAGCATTTTTTATTTAAAAAAAAAATAGCAAGGTTTATTTTGCAGTCCATCAGGGACGCTGCCACCCATACTGTCTTTGATCGAGTAAAACTGGCGGTGGTCAGAGGAGCTGGAGAAGGCAGTGCATCTCTGCACACTCTGTCTCTGGGCGTGAACGTGCGTGACCCGTGTACTCAGGTCTTAGGGTTTCCAAAAAGTCCAACCCACGAGACTCCCACTCTCCCTTGCCCCTGTTTAGAGTGTAAAAGTGAGATCCCTGCAGAGCTCACCCCACCCCATCCACCCCTCTGCTGTCATCTGGTAAAAGAAGGTGCACTTTTAGCACCTCACCTCAAACACATTCCCAAGGGAGCAGGTCTGAGCAACTGTGTCCCCACTGCTCAGTGGCCTGGGCTCAGTCACTGTTCAGTAAGTCCTGCCCCCTGCCAGCCACTGTGCAGGTCCTAGGGAGGGTCAGGCAGGTGCCACAAGGCCAGCCTAACGGGAAGGTAAGGGCATTATCAGAGGGAAGCAATCCCAGAGCTCAGGAACAGGGGGGAGCCATGTGTCTTTAGAAATCTGCAGGGGGCAGGAAGAAGGGGCTGTGCAGAGGCCTAGAGTCTGGCTGGGGCGGGCAGGGGTGAGAATGGCAGCAGTGAGGGAGAGGGGAGGCCAGCACGGCAGGGCACAGACGGGGGCATGGAGTCGCAGCACTGCCAGGATGTCAGGCAGAGGGGGCTGCTGTGCTCAGACCCGCAGTCAGCTGAGTGTGGAAGGCAGCAAGGCTGGTGACTGAAGTCACCTTCCTGGTCACCACCAGCAGCTTGTTGTGCACCTACTATGTGAAGCACACCCAGATCTTTGCTGGTAGTAAACACACACAAATGAATCGTGATGCCTGCCCTCGAGCCATTCACGGACCAGGGAAAACTGGGAGTAAATCTCTCAATCTGCACATTTTCGGTGTCCCCAGAAGGCTTCCGACTCCAGCTGCCGTCAAAGACCAACCTGGGTTCAGCGCTCCCTCCCTTCCCGCCCTTGACCTACCTACACAAGGTGATGTCTCCACAGAGAAAATAAACAGCCCCTTCTCAGAGAAAGGGGGTCTCCAACAAAAAGCTGCATTTCTAAGTCCCTAACGTGGCCAAACAAAACCCAGGGCGTTTCATTTAAGCTATGATTTCTCTGTTTCTCTTTTCACTAATTTGAGATGTTCAGAAATAAGTCTCATTCTAAAAATAATATAAGAAAAGATAAAGCAGCCGGCAACACTGAGCCCCGGGAGGAGGAGCCCAGGAGGGCGGCTGTGTGACCAGGCCACAGCCATCGCAGCCTGGGACTTCCGACTGCTGGGACTCGAGGGGCAGGTCCCGTTACCTTCTGTGGTTCTACCCTTCTCTGTGCCACTGCCCTGTCCCACGGATCCCCCATGTCCCTATTCAGCAAGCATCACAAACGGACGACGGCTGCGTGGGTTGAACCTCAACTGTGACCTTTGGAGTAAAGCTAATTTATTGGTCCATCACTCGGGGATTGCTCACCTCCATTCCGTTTGTCCCTTCAAAGTCCGTTCTGCCGTAAATGTCACCGTTTGATACCTCCCACATTTCACTCTGACTGCCGCCCTCTGGAGCCCAACGTGTTGTGTTTCAGATAACCGAGGCGTGACCATAGGGACCCTGGTGACCGTGCTGTGTCTTCTCGCTGCTGGGTTTGGGGTTTATCTCAAAAGGAGGACCTTGATACGGCTGCTGTTTACCAACAAAAAAAMCACCTTCGAGAAGCTGAGGTAGGCTGGGCCTCGCACTGTGGCTGTGGCTAGCAGGGTCCTTGGGGGCGAGGTGATGGTTGAAGGGACACAGGGCCAGCCGCTKCTCCCGGGGGGTCCTTGGAAAAGAGAGGGCCAGGCTCTCTGCACAGGAAGACCGGGGGCAGCTTCTGACCTGGCTGCTGGCTGTGGGGCTGTGCAGGGTGCCCGTGCAGGGTGCGGTGTTTTCTCCACCCTGGTGTTCGCAAGCTGTGCCCCACCTGGGCACCCTGCGTGTTCTCCTCAGAGGGGGGTGGCTTGGGGTCCCAGCACATTCAAAGCCATCATTGCTCTGGCTCCAGCTTCTTTCCAAACACCCCCGCCCCCGGCTACCCCACAGCTGTGTCTATGGGGAGCAAGAACTAATTTGACAGAAGGGTGGCTCTGGGGGAAAGAAGGTCAATATTTTTTTTTAATCTGATAAAAGCATTAGATAATTCTTCCTTTGCAAGTTTGCCACAGTAAGTTGAAATGAGTGAGTGATATTCTGAGTGTCACTATAAACACCAAGGAGAAAAGAAACGGCTGTGGCTAGCAAGTCGGATTGCCTTGCAGGTGTGTGCGACCCTCCCGGCCACCCAGCCGCTCCCAGCCCGCGCAGGCTCATCGCGCCCACCTTGGGAAAGGCCCATCAAGCAGGCCACCGCACTCCAACATACCGAAGGTGAGGGTTGGACRAACACGGGGACTCACTGGGCTCATAGACATGCAGCTTGCAACACAAGATGGATTCGGGAGGGGATCCTAGCTGCTTCCGGGAAACGGCCGGCTCACTCAGGTCAATGAGGGCTGGCCGGCTGGGGGGCCTGGAAGGAGGCCCACAGTGCCTCCGTGGAAGCCCCCCTGGCCCTGCGGAGATGTGACTTAAGCCCTGACCCCTCTAGTCCCAGGCTGGCCCAAGCTGGCTCCTGTCACCGGGACCTTCCTGCTGTTTCCAGAGGCCACCAGCTGGGTTTGGGGGAGCTTCTGTGGCTGCTGTGACTCCTGSAATATTCTGTGAGCTTCACTCAGCCCCAGCTGTGCCCCTTCTGCTCAAGCCCAGAGCTGGGGAAGCCAGTCTGCCCCATTCTTTCAAAGAGAGATCCTGAGGCCAGAGCCCCTCCTGGTCCCTCCTGTCGCTTCGTCTCCTGCTCCCCCGTGAATCATTACTCGAGTTCATTCTCATACTTGGTTTTTTTTTTTTCTACCAAGTGTTTTTTTTTTTAATCTTTTTTAGTTGTAGACAAACACAGTATCTTTATTTATTTTTATGTCACTGAGGATGGATCCCAGTGCCTCACACATGTGAGGCAAGTGCTATACCGCTGAGCCACAGCCCCAGCCCTCCCACCAAGTGGTTCTGATGTATCTGTAAGAATTCTTGAATGTTGAACTCATCCAATGAAAGAATTCAAATTATAACAGGGACAAGACCGAGGTCAAGAAATGAGAAATGATTTTTTAAAAAATCATCATCTTGTCCTTAGCAGGAAATAAACTGTTTTAGTTCCCTCTCCTTTGATCCAGAAAGTAGAGTGAGGTTTCATTGGGGTTCCTCATTCTTCGTTCATTTCCAACCTGGGGTGGTGAGCAAGAATGGCTTGCTCTAGGACAGCCAAAAACACAGCTTTGCTTCAAAGAGCCCCAAACTTGAAAATGTCCATCAACAGGGAAAATGATGAGCAAGCTGTGATATATTTACAGAGCAGAACACTGCTTGGTATTTAGAAGGACTCAACCACTGATGTCCACAATACTGTGGATGAGTCTCAATAATTCTGAGTGAAGAACCAAACAAAAGACCCCGTTTATATGCATATGTAACTCTAGGAAATGCAGGCTGACTCAGGGGGACAGAGCACAGATCAGCAGTGGCCAGGGAGCAGGAGGTGGAGGTGGGGGAGGCGAGAATGACAAGGATGCCCCTGGGGTGACTGGTCCACGACTGTGCCTGTCCTGACGGCTTCATGGGTGTAGGTAGGTCAGCAACTACCAAGTCTGCACGTGAACTGTGTGCAGCAAGCGCATAGCACTGCCCTCAAGAAAGCTGGGTTTTAAAAGAGAGGAAGGGGGCGAGGAATTGGCAGGGAAGGGTGGGGCCTGCAGTACCAGGCGCTGGGCCTGGTCGGGGAACCTGGGCCAAGGTCCAGAGCAGCCCCTAGCGCGGCTTCCCGGGGCCGGCCCCCCTCCGGGTGAGTTTTCTGTTTCTGGGGTGCCTTGAGCCTGGTCAGGCTGTCCCCCTTCCCGCCTCCTTCTCTTCTCCCSCAGAGGCACCTGCCCTCACTGACTCATCAAAACAGGTTTTAAGAATCTGAATAAAACATGGATTCCTCCACTGCAGATGGGCAGGCGGGTGTGGGCCGTCCTTCTCGGGGTGCCCTGGACCCCCACCTGCAGCTGCAGCAGAGGAGCCGGCTGCGTCCCCTGGGGAATCACTGACATCCTTGAACCCTCTGCCTCATGGCTCTTTGCTCTGACCGGGCAGGACAGGAGATGGCCACAGGGGCAGAATGTGGACATCAGCAGGCCCCTCAACGCCCTGGCTGTCCCTCAGCCACAGTCACCGCGGCGAGTGCTTCCGCCCCTCCAGCAGGCCCCGCGGGCGCCCAGCGGCCCGGCCAGGCCCCTGCCGGCTGACCCAGTGCTCAGGCAGACCCAGGTAAGCCCCGCTCCTGTGGGTAAGCACCGCTCCRGTGGGTAGCCCTGCTCCTGTGGGGACGCAGTGCAAATCCAGACTTTGCTGCTTGCYGCTGTGGGAACCTGGGCAAACTGCTCCACCTCTTGTCACCTCTATAAAACGGAGATGATTCAGCGATTCAGGCGGTTAAATGAGATGATGGGCATGAAGCGTTTGACACAGTGCCTAGAAGATAGTCAGGGTACGATGTATTTTAATTTACTAGGAGTAATGTTTTAAAATATTCAGAATAGGAAAAGTGTTCCTGCAACTTGTCCTTTAACCCATGACACATTTGAGAATGGCAGAGGGCACTACTACTAAGTAGCCTGGACGATAAAACAGAGACAGCAATCCAAGGCAGATGGTCACTCTTAGAATAATAAAGGTCACACTTTCTTACAATTCTTGTATTTAATCTTCAAAATTAAATACAAGAATTTCATCACCTATTGAGTCTCTCTTTTCTAGAAGTAGGTTGTCTATTTTGTGCTTATCTTATTTTTTTGCTGGTTTTGAAAGTAATGGTTTGTTTTGAGTGTGAATGTGGCACTTCATGATAGGACACTTGAGAAGGGGAAAACACAGCAAATGAAAAACAGAGATCGTTGGTAATTTTTTATTGCTTTTGTTATTTTTCTTCTAGTAATTTTTATATACTGTTTTTAAAATAAGTTCTATGCTCTATACCAGCTTTATCTCCTGCATTTTTGCCTTTAAATCATTCCCATTTATCATGGCATTATTAATCCTACAAAATGTTATTTTAGCAGTAGCATTCTTTTGGACTATAGAATAGTTTCTGAAGCCTGGTGTGGTRGGACACACCTGTAAACCCAGTGAATCAGGAGGCTGAGGCAGGAGAATCATAAGTTCAAGGCCAGTCTCAGCAACTTAGTGAGACCCTGTCTCAAATTAAAAAAAAAAAAAACAATAATAATAATAATAAAAAGGATATAGCTCACTGTTAGAGCACCCCAGGGTTCATCCCCAGAACCCAAAATAAGGTTTTTTAAGGACTTGCCATTAGTGGGCATATTTGGATATCTCTAGTTTTTGCTCTTATGAGCAGCTCTGTTATGAAAGTCTAGGTAGATAAAATTTTGGACTTCTTTATTCCCTTAGGAGAGTCTTAAAAGTGAAATATTGGGGAAAAGGGCTGGTCATTTAAAACCTCATAGTTTAATGTTTTTCGGAACTGTGTTTATGTTCCCACATTGATTTTTGTCTTCCTAACAGGATGCTAGTACCAAATATCAGCCTCTCAAAGCCTTTCCAGTTTGATAGATACACACACCACTCCGTTTCCTTCCCGTGTAGTCGTCCAGTCAGGGACTGAAAGGATTGTTGACGGGTCTGGCTATAATTGGGTCTCCTTTCAGGCCATCAGTGTCTGCTTCAAGTGTGTGGACGTTCTCCTGGTGTGCGTACACATAATTARGATTGTTGTGTCTTCTTGGGGAACTGTAAGGTCCCTTTTGTCATTATGAATTGTCCCTCTTTGGTTGTTTGTTCTAGAACCTCCTTTATCTGGTACTAATGTACCCTCAGTGTTCTCAGAGAAGGTCTTTCCCATCCATCACACTTTTCACTTCAGAGGGCAGGTTTATGGGGTTCATTTTTGTTCCTTGGTGTTTCTTAGTTATTTCCAGGTCGTGTGTGCTAATGTGTCTTTTCCTGTTACGTATCCTGAGGAGGACACCGGCACACGCGCAGGGACTCACCACGGGGTGGTTCCTTTAGTCCTGGGGCCGCGGGCCAGTCGACTTTCTTTCTCAGCTTTCAGAGTCTTCCGTCAGCTGCCTTGTGAATTCTGTCCAGACTTTTCTGTTGTAATTAACAGGAAGAATAGGGTGGACTCTTCTTATTCCATCTTGTCTAGACCTCAATTCTTTTTGTGTTTCTTTGGTTACTGGTATTCAAACCACTTCATGTATGTCTAGTAGCCAATGGTGTGCTGGTAAACTGGCACTTAAGAAAATAAAAAATAATAATAAAATGCAGTGCTGGGCACAGTGGTGTACATCTGTAATCCAGTGACTCAGGAGGATGAGGCAGGAAGATCTCAAGTTCAAGGCCAGCCTCAGCAAATTAGTGAGACCATCAAAAACCTAGCAATACCCTGTCTCAAAATTAAAAATTAAATAAAAAGGCTGGGGATGTAGCTCAATGGTAAAGCACCCCTGAGTTCAATCCCCAGTACCAAAAAAAAAAAAAAATCCTGACATATAGCAGGTTTCTCTTTCATATAACCACCCCCCCCATCCCCGCAGAGTCAATTACAAGCTATTAAGGTGACATCACTGCACAGGAGCAGGGAATCCGCTGTCACAAGCTAGACCATCTCCCACACCCACTCTCAGGGATCTGCTCTAYGCATTATCTGTTACTATCCTGTGACTTTTTTTTTTTTTTTTGCTTCTATTGAGAGGTCGAGTTGGCTCCCTGATGTATGAGTTTCTTTCTTAATAGATCATGTAATTTGTTGTAATTCTATTTTGCATTTGGCACAGAAGAGCTCCAGTTTTGAATATTCCACGTATTAATGGCTCCTTGTGAACCCTCCCATTCCTTCCATGCTTGCAGAGCGGGGAGGGCCCACATGCAGTCTCTCCTGCTGACTTGCTTGGCTGTCCAGGGTTCTGTTTTTCCATGTGTCTTGCTAACCTGCCAGGGTTAAGTGGGTGCAAGGCAGTGGCCCCTCCTCCACTTCCTGGCCCATGGACTTATTTGAGGACCCGATGAAGCAGTCAATAGCAGCAATCAGCATTCCGCACATGCTCTCCCGGTGTCCACGGAGCCCCATGGACTCCCTTATTTGGGGCTTTTTATTCCTGCCTTTAAGTAGCCCACCTGTGCATGTACCAAACAGGGACCGCCACCCACGTCGTGTGATCAGGGAAGCCACTTGTCCCTGATCACACTCCCTGTGGGTGGCAGTCCCCAGGGAAGTCTTTCTCCCACCAGCTGTGCATGCCCACAGAAGTGAAGTCTTCAAGACTCCCTTTCCAGCAGGCTTTGGAAAAGCCCTGCCTTGGTGATCCTTCAGCCATTACTCACTGAAAAATCCACCTGTTCACTCCAGGTTGGTGTCTGTCTGGAAACTTCCAAGACATGTGACACAGAGAGAGGACGTGGCTCTTCCCCATCACACGTAGACCTGGAGTAACTCCACGTGGGTGTGGGGAGTGTGCGGAGGTGGTCTTGTTTGGCAGCACAGACCGAAYCCACTGGTGCTTTGCATTTTAGAATTCCCTGTGCTCTGACCTACAGCCACACAACTAATTCTGCTTGGTTTGTCCAAACTCATCACATAATCATTCCCAGAGGAAAGAGAACACCATTACTAACACTATATTGATCAAGCTCACATCTAAAAGGTAAGCTAGTTCTTAGTAGAAAACATTTCATCTTCTCTAAAATGTTGTTTGGCTTTAAAATTCAAGGACAGTTGAATCAAGTCGTTCTCTTGTCTGTGAAGGTACCTTTCCAAAGTACCATTTATTGCATGGTAAAACGGTGCTTGGAATTAAAACTTCTCATCCCAGCCACCACCACCCTCCCCAGTCTTGATAAAGGAGGCAGACTTTAATTTATTTTTTATCCCCATCAGCTATTCTAGAGGAAAATAAATTCAGTGTATTCCTATCACTGCTGGCTGGCTGCTAACAATTTCTCCAGAACCCCAGCCAAGCATGAATGGTCAAGTGCAGGCTGCAGAAAAGAATGGTCCACAAGGAAAAGAATAAGAGGTGGGGGGGGGCATCTGACCCCCTAAGCAGGGGGCAGAGAGCACGACAGAACATCTCTGTGCCTCCTGTTGAGTTGGCCTTGACTTGTGTGTTAGGTTTGCTGCTCCCCAGGAACATGCCCTGGAGTGGGGGCTAAGACAAGTCAGTGCACATTTGCATGTGTCAAGCCCCTTTGGAAGCAAGGGGGAGGTTCCCTGCACCTTCTGAGGCCGGGCAGAGTTCATGTTGGGCTCTAGAAAGGAAAGAAGAGGACGTTAAAATAAGAAGTTGCAGGAGGGGCTGAGAAGTTGAGGACAGATCTGAGAGGGCTTACGAGAGACTTACATCGTAAGACTGAAAAAGCCAATTTTACTATAGAATTCTTAAAAAGAATTCTATGAAGTGGAGAATACACAAGAGCGTACCAAGAACATGTCTTAAGCAGAATCCTAAAAGGTTGTCCTGGGAGGGTGGGGACCAGGGCACTCACTGAGGCACRACAGGGAGAGAGCATCAGCCCTGTGATTTCAGACACCCGTGTGAACTCCACCGACTAGGCTTTTGGACCTGGGAATTCTCTGAACACCAAAAAGGAAGCAGCCCTGGAAACACTGCTAGTGTGAGGCCAGAGCCSGCCAGGGGGAGGAAGGGAAGGTTCCCTGTGCTGGGAGAGGACAGCATCCTGCTGAGTCAGCATGAAGCTGCTAGGAGAGGAGGGAGYGGCTGGAGGATGGGAGGTGGCAGGCAGCAGAGGGACACAGGCCACTCAGGACAGCTTGGCCACAGACCAAGTGTCCCACTATCCCACAAGAGATGGACTCAAATTGCTAAATTTCAAATGAAAAATAAATGTGACCCACAAAAGGCTAAAAATATGAGGGCACTCAGGGCATATTCCGAACGGCCAGACACAAGTGTGCAGAAGAGGGAAGGGGCAGGGGAAAGACCTGCAGGGGGTGTTGGRGTTCCCGGGGCATGCCCAACCAAGACCCTTATACAGTTTACTCCAGTTCATTGGATTAATTGATTCATTTACCATTTCATCAAAAACATGCTCAAAAAGAAAAAAAAAAAACCATGAAACATGCTCAATGTCACATCCAAGAAATAAATTTCTCAGCTCAAAGAAAATTGTGTCTAGAGAAGCTGAACTAARCAGCAGATCAAGACAACTTCCTGCAGTCACTGGGATGGAGGGAGCTTAGAGGGGAGCATGCCCACACCCAGGCGCTCCCAAGCACTACCCACTC